ATTCGCTTGGCCCGCTGTAACCAAATTGCTCTGTTCTTGGTGTCATATGTAGCAATAATTATTTTTGGTGGCAAATGAAAGCGAGCTAAGCTAGGATGATAATTTAAGAGAACTAGTTCCGTTCTCTAATTCCGAATTTTAGCTTATAATCTAAGTCCCTGGTTGCTCATTTATCGTTAAGCTTTAAATTGTAGAAAATTTCCACCTGTTTTCCGATAAACCAAGCCCGCAAATTCCAGCTTATAGATCATCAAGCTTATTCTAAAATATTTACAAAATTTATAGACAAACAAATCTGACAGATAACCGTGCCATAAGCTATTTATCTATCTGCAGAATGCTAACCAATAATCCAACTAATTTTATAGCCATTTGTATATATATATATTGTTTTTCTCCATTTACAGCAGTCTATTATTTTAGGAAATGGAAAAAAATATTTATTGAAATTTCATGAACTTGTTTTCGGGTGCTGCTGATGCAACACAGCTCAGCACAGTTGCAATTTGTACATGTCCGTATAAATAAATGTACCAACAAGCAGATGGTGTGAGTGTATGTGTGTTTGTGTCTGTGTGTGTGTGTGTATATAGTCCATATTTATCTATGCTCATTGTGAATTGCGCTTTTGCGCCGCTTATGCGAAATGGCAAACACTCAAATTTTATTGCATATTTCATTAGATTTTTGTCAGAGCGTTATGTTTAAAGGCAAACACTTTTCCACCCACTAGGACATTCGTCGCGCTCAGTGACAATATTTCAAATGATTTTTATTCCTCGGTTGCCACCGCGATTTTTGTTGCCTTGTTTGCCTATTTCGCCCATTTGCGCGCTGTCAATAAATTCGATTTTCGATTTGTGATTCGCGATTTATGCGGGCGCATAGTTTTTATGTCACATACCCCAAAAATCCAAACCCTCTGTGTAGCAGCAGGATGTGACATGACATTCCATGTTGCATACATACACTTGTTTTTCGATGTTTCATGTTTTTTTCTCTCTGTTCTTTAGGGGGGGGGCTTGACTGAGTGACAGGGTGGGGCCAAAATACTGCTGGCAATTTATTAGTTTGTTGAGCTGCATACGCAGCACGCAGGTGGCAATTTTGTGGCCTACGCCGGGGTAAATAGTAAATAAATAAAAGCTCGTAACTGATGCGTTTTTGAAGCTGGCCAAATGCAGATAGGATATCGTGCAAACATAAAGCTGCGGTCATTATAATAGCTTTAAATGGTTGAATTTTTGAAATAAGTCATGATATTAATTGTAATAATGATCGAGTTTTATCTGTTGAATGATTACAAATCCTACAATAGATTAAGGGAAATAAAACGTTAAGATTTGTAGAATAAAACCCAGAGCTATTAGTTTAACCCCAACTGTTTGCACGCCCGAATTGACAGGCAGCATTTGAATTATTCGGCATAGAAAAAATATAAACAGAGTCATATTATAAAACCTGACACAATCAATTTAGTATTAATTTGGGTGCGCATAAATCGTCAAATGGCAAATGGTAAATGGCAAATAAGCCGTAGAGTCAGTCGATGCAAAATTGAATGGCTTGCGGCATAAATATTCATTGGCATTACAACTGCAATTTTATTGCAATGCCAATAAGTCAGAGTCTCTCTGCAGTGACATTTTGGGGTTTATTTTTGGGAAGGGGGCATGTGCGACTTGCAATCAAAAGGAACAAAATCAACAATAAAATGCAAATAAATACGCCCGGTCACACACACATGAATATTCTCTTTGGTACATATTCTACGTACATTGCCGAAATGACAAGTAACCAAATAAACGTTCTTGGACAGGCCAAGACAAGGTTTGTTTGTCTGTTTGTTTGTTTAAATACTGATAAATGCTACTGACATCCATATAAACATCAACTTGCAGGATGGTCAATGTGTGTGTGGGCGGTTGGTATTAAATGGGTTTTTTTGGGAATATAGCTTTGTTACCCGACTGGCATTTAACTGTTGAATTGTTTTTTGTGATCGATTACAAGGCACTCTTATGCCGGACCTCAATCTGCTTGGCCCAGTATATCTCTGCTTGTCTGGTTATAAATTGACATTTCATGGAAACATTTAACTTGCTTTCAATTGTTATGAGACTGCCATTAAATAAATCTATAAAAATTGTTATATCAAATAAATGGCAGGCCACTTGAATGGATAAGAAAAGAAAAATAAGCCAAGGACAATCTAGGATATTCTGGTTAATATCTTTTTAACGAGTTTCTCTTTTTTGTATTATTTGTATATCCTTAAAAATATTTCTTTGTAGTATTTTTACTGAGAAATAAGAGAGTATATATTTTATATTGTTTTAGATTTAATTTTCCAAAAGGTTTTCTTCATTTAACGAATTTGTAGCTCCTAAAACTACCAAATTTTTGTGAAATAAAATTGATGAAGCAATAAGCTGACACCATATCTTTTAAGTCAAATAATGTCAGTTATTTCTGCCAGCAAAGGCTAATCGAAAATGCAGAAAAGAAAACACTGTCCTTGCAAGAGCACACAATCGCTTTGGGCTACCGAGGAAATGAATAATGCCAAACAATTACACAACACTGAGCTCATTTGACTTTTCATTGCATTAGCCGGAGTCGAGTTTCACTCAGCAGCGCTTAAATTTAATTGCATTTTCCGCATTTTCCCAATGCAATGGCAGTCCGTATTTTTGGGTACATTTTCGTTGGCCCCACAATGTATGCTACACTATATATACACTTATGGAGCTTGCCTTCGGATCCTGGAAAATGTGAATGGATGTGGGTGTTTTTGGCTATGGAACGCAAGCATTTGCAATGCAAGTTTCATACACAACCTACACAGAAACACACACACACAAACATGAACATTTGATTTGCATTTCATTTTCTCAGCCGCTGCCTCTGCCGACGTCTCCTTCACTCTGCTAAGTCGTCTTAAGCAGCACGTCTCTCAGTGGAAACGTCCAGCTGTTGTCTGTGTGTGCGTGCCTGTGGCTGTGTGTAATGCGTGTGTGCAGCTCAAAGGCTCAAGCAGATGTGTGTGTACTAAGTACACTGTGGAAAATAGGGAATACTTTTCATTTTTAATAGAGAAACTCTACGCTGATTTGGTAAACATTCTGCCTTGGAATTTCTATGCTAAGTAATGAAGGATTATTCCAAATAATAGCATTTTACCGCATTCCCTCTCTCAGTGCACATTTGAATGATTGCTTCAATGCTCACACTTACCTCCCAGAAGCCATTTCCGGCACTGGTCGTTACGTCACTGTAGGCCAGTACCGCGCCCGGCCGACTGCTGCGGAAATCGAATTTAATATTAAATTCTTCGGCGTGATTTATGGGCCACCAAATGTGTGATGTCGCAAAGGGATAGGTGATGGGTATGACATTCACTTCGTTCTCGAAGAACTCCGCCTCCAGCACGCCTGACCCAGAAATACAGAGAGCACAGGAAGAGGGGTGATATAGCCTCGTTAGAGAATGCCAAATATGTTACCAGCAAATCGCTACACTCGATATTAAATTGCACTCCACTCACCGTGATAGTGCACTTTGGGATTCCCCCGCTGCAGTTCGTACAGAATGGAGATGTCATTGTAATAGACATATTTCAGGCTGCCCACGAAATTGTTGTGGGAGGCCAGGCCCTTCTTCTTGTTCAGCTCTGGTCCTCCTCCGAAATAGATTTCTGGATCGAAGAGCAAGTTCCCACTGGCGGTGACTGGTAGTTCCAGTACCTTTTGCTGTTGATCTAGGATAATGCTAACCGTTCGCTGATCATGTAGAATCGTTAGGTTGTGCCAATATCCTCGAGTCAAGTCATCTGTAAGCACGGTGCTCATCACGTTGTCACCAAAGTCCATTTCCACATGAACTGATTGATTTTTAATGGAAGCCGCTATGTATTGATGCTTTAGAGACTCTCCACTCGCGTAGAACAAAGCTGAGTCATCGAAATTGGTTCGGAACATCAGACTTATACGCCTGGTGGAGGAGTGTACTCGATCCTTCCAGTCGTATATCCTGTAGGACACATAGCTGGCTCCTCGCAGTGTGATAATGGTGGCGGCTATAAGAAATGGAAAGGAGGTCTATGTTAGTATGATCTTAGCTATAGTTTCAGTCAGGATTTCATTCATTAATGTCAAGGACATATTACATCACAAAAATACAAATAATCACCCATCAAAAAACATTTTACAATATTAACCGGATAATCTGAATATTGTAATCCGGATATCAATAAAAATCAGAAAAAGTGTGTGCCAAACACCTGTTAACTCTTTTCAACCCAATAAAATAAGTCTGGCGTATTTAGCATATTTGTAAATTTCGCCATACAAATTATCAGCCACAGTTCTTGCAACTTCAACCTTTGTTTCCCTATTTTTGTATTTTAAATTCCCTTGCCACTTGTGCATTATCTGCCTGCTGCACACAGAACAAAAAGCAAAAAATGCAGAGAAAAAGCTTTACTGGGCCACAAAAATAGATTATATTGTTTGTTCTTTGGCGGCCTTTAGGCATTCGCCTGATGTTCGTCGTGGTCCTGTTTTTTCCTCTCCTGATCCTGATCCCGGGAACTTGTCCGTGGACCAAATGTGCAAATCGTGTAACGCGCAATTTTCAAGCATTTTTTTACGCTGCCTCTGGGTGTAGAGTGGGCAGTGGTTTGGGAATGATGGGTGGTTGGGTTGCCATGACAGCAGCAGCCTTTTGGCCGCTTATCTGACACTGTACACGAGGGCCACGCCCATAAGATAACACATTACAGCCCATACACTTTCATACAGCAGCACACTGAGATTTTTCTTTATTTAATTTTTCTAGATTTTTACTTTTATTTTCTTGAATTTTAGTGGTAAAAAGCATAAAAGATAAAAATTGTATGGGATTATTGGGTTCGATATTAAATGGAGATCCAAAAATTTCCATTTAGGTATTTAATAAAAATTTAAAATTTTTTCCAGTGCCCACAGCCCATGCAGATACCCGTTTACTTAATAATTTTATTTCCATTTTTTTGAAGAAAAAAACATTCTCACTGCAATAGTGTCTACAATTTTCCAACTCTTTCTGGTCTTATGTTAATGCAGGTGCATAATGAGGCGGACGATGTATGTGGACTCCCATTAGAGCAGGCCACATCGTGTCATAATCACAGTTTTCTTGGTCTTGCCATTTTTAGTGCCAAATTCGTGGCAGTTCTGAAGCACCCGAAGGCCACCACAAACGCGTCCAAAGATGACCCGTTGCCATGGTACCACCGAAGGCTTAAAGCTTATGGTGTAGCTGAGTAGACCCTGGGGAAAGTGGCGACGATAGTCCCAGGGATACGAAATCATCCCAATCATCTTGCTGGGATCCAGAAAGGAGTGCTTTACACTGTGGTGATTACGCAAAGGATCGTTGGCCGGAACAATTTCTCCTTCCATCCAGAGATTGGAGAATATTCTGACAAAACGATGACATCTTGTATCGTTGTGGGTGGCCATCCTGACAAATTCCAGCACCACCTCCGGACTGAGTTCTGTGTAGAGTTGCAGAAGTAATCTTCCCAAAAACTGGTTATTTTCCTGAACTGCCAAATCGTAATAAATGATGGGACGGAGCAGGACATGGGCAGTACGTTTCCCCAATCTCGGGGATGGCATATAAGGCAAGAAGGAGGACACTGTTTGCTCAGAGGCCTTCTGCTCAAGGGGCTTGACAGGTGCCACCCAAGGATTGTGCGAGTCCACCTTTGGGCTAAGTGGTTAGATTTCAGATTTGATTTAACCTAATAATTACCAACCTTTGACTTAACCTTCGATAGACGACAACCAAGTTGCCTGTTCTCTTGACTTAATCGGCCTGCCAGTTCACGGATCTTGACCCGATTCGGCTGAAGGGCAGGGAAATTGCGATTAAAGCTATCAACGCAGCCCTTCAGTCGATTAGTATGATTGATCCGTCCAAGGAGATCGAAGTTTTTACGAAAGATATCCTGTTTAAGATGGAATTCATAAGACACCTGGCTACGATTGAGGAGGAGTGGCTTAAATCCAAGGGAATCCCCTGTGGACTTGATAGTCTTAAGGCGTCTATGGTCTATTTGCGATTGTCTCATCTCTATCATGCTCTTGTAGGTTACTGGATTCAAGTCCGCCTCCTTGCCCGCCGATCGCATTATCTTCCGAAATTCCGCATAGGTGGGAACTTTGTTCTTCAGTAACTTTTGCCGAGCTTCTTTGTTTTTCATCACCAATTCAGTGGCCACTTCCTGAGCCCTCAATTGGGTGGATCTACTGGTTGGGGTTTTTACAAAAAACTCCGAGAAGGTTAATTTGCGATGACTCATTTTGGTATTAGAGGGATTACTGTAAAGTGTATATATAGTTTCCGCTCAAGATTAACTTGCGAATTTGTGGACTCAAGCAATTTGTGGGTGATGTGTTTGTGTTTGTGTTTGGGTTAAACAAAGTGAAACACAGACACCAAACTGCTTGGGTATGTAGAGTATTATTAATGAAAAGCCAACTAAGTTGGTGTAAATATGAAATCATTAGTAGAAATGACATAATGAGATATTTATAGATCGAAATTTTGACCAGATAAAACATGAATAAATTGAATTTTAAAATGAAATAAAAGCTTATCAAAGATGCCATAAATTATTTATTAAAGTCAAAGCTCTAATTAAAGGTGTGACATTATCATTTGGACAAATCCGACCGCAGTTTGCTATTTCTATTTTTTGAACCACAACATAAAGGGAAAATTAGTCACAGAATTAACACATTTTTTTTTAAGTTTTAAGGAATTTAATAATATTACACTACCAAACTGGCATATGTAATAATTAAAGTTTAGTAATTTTTAAACTGCCATTTTTAAACTGCTCCTCTAGCACTTTTAGTTTGAAAAAGTGCGGAAAAATTCATCTCTGCGTAGTGCATCATGAATGCCAGTTGAGCTGACAACTGTCGGCCAAAAGTCCAGAGATGAACTAAGCCCGGAGTCATCATATCGGACATCACAGGACATGCTCCTGCCCGCCCTCAATCTGTCCTGTTTGCTGGCATTTCAATTCGCTTATGCCGGAAGAAGGCGAAAAATCTTGTAGTCTCTTTCAGAAATGTTGATGCCCGGGTTTTTCGGGGGTGGCTAATGATTTCCCTCAGCTGAACGCATTTCGTTGACACTTTTAGTATGGAAAATTGTAAAATCGGTATGGAGGGCTTCAAAGAGGAGGGAGGGGTTGCGGAGCTGTGTTCAGGGTGAACTGCACATGAACAGGCTCGTCCTTGTACTGGCAGTTGTCATTTTAGTTATTGCATTACAAAAGCGTCTGCGTTTGATTATGCCTCGTTTCCCTTGTACCCTGTACGAATTTTCAACATTTTTATGCACCGAGGGAAAGAAGTGTCACGAAAAAAGTGTGGAGTGTATTTTTTAAAGCTTTGAACTATTTTTAAGGTCGTTTTTTATAGGTCCTTAAAATACATCCAAGCTAGAATATGTACACCCCTATATACTTTAATTTTTCCTAATTTATTAACCTTATTTTCTCCCCCTGCAGTATAGCTCTACCGCTCACTGTGTGCGAGGTTTTAATGGCCTGACACTGTTTCCGTTCCAGGAGCAGTTCAACATGCAACCGGCAAGGCAGCGGGTGGTGGGCGTATGGGTGAGGTACATCTGTGTAATTTGCTTGCACTTGCCGGCGCTCGTTACGTAATTGTGATCAGTTGCAGCAGCGGCAACAGCGGCAGGCGCTGTAAATGCTTGACAAACTCGCACGTCACGGCGGTCGCTCGTTGTCCTTGACAGACGCCATTTAGACAGATAGAGAGGGGAAATTCGCAGATAGAGGGCACGCGGCCATTTTCAAAATGGCCAACGCTGTCATGGCTAACGGCAAACCGTTAGCGTTCTCTTTCTCTTCTTTTTTGTTCATTTTGCAATTTTCAGCTGTCCATTGCATCAATACTCCACCTCACTTTCCCCAAAAAAACACACACATTTCCTCTCCTGGACTCCGCTTAATTCCAGTGACGCCACCCGCGAAGTCAGGATTTTATTTTGGATTTTTCCTTTTTCTATGGCTGGCATGTGTTGGTCATCATTTGCATGCAAATTTTTAGCAAACATTTGAAATGCAGCGGGGGCTAAATCTGAAGAATGCATGTTGAGATGCCCTAACTAGAGTTTAGGTTTGGCTAAGGTAACTTGATTTCATGAACGTTAAGGAGATTATGTAGAAAAGATTAAAGATTAAAAGATTTTTAATGATTTTATTAAGATTTTTAAGTATGAAAATCAAATATTTTTTTCATCCCTTTCCCTTGATATTTAAATTTGCTTTTGGGATATTTTAATATTTAAAATGTTATGTTTTATAAATGAATTAAATGTAAGCCTCTTAAATAATATGTGTACTAACAGTCAATTTAAAATGCAAATCTCTTTTAATCAGTACCTTTAATCATATCAAGTAAGGGTAAATCCAATTCCCCATAGGTAACTAAACCCCAACTCCCATTTTCGTGCTGATATCCGAAGTTAGTGCTTGGAAAGACCCCTGAAAATTGTGCAATGTCAAAAAACATAAACGAGCTGCTCAATTTTTAATAGGCTTGCCTATATAATGGCCTCGCGTGACTTAATTGAGATTATGGCGGCCTGGAATTGGCTTTATGTCATTAACTAAATGTCGGATGTTGCTGAAGGGGAAGGGAAGGATAGCAACGCTGGTCAATGGGGGGTGTACGTATATATTTTGAGCTTAACAAACTAATTTTGCGCACATTTTGCCTGGTGTGGCCCGAACTGGCCGGCAGTCAAAAAGTCAAACACTATTTTGCATAATTTATGGTCAGGTCATTAGCGTGTTTAAAACTGTAGCGACCAAAAAGGGGAGGGCATTGCCAGTGGCTAACCGCTAGCAAACAAACATAGTTTATAATTAAAACAAAATGGCGCCCCTAGGGCCATGTCCAGATACAGAGATATATATTGGGATTTGGACAGAGTTAGATGGATGTGAACGGCACTTGAAAAAAGTTTTGACAACTTTTGGGTAAATAATAAGTAAAAAAAAAGGAAAGATAGTTTATCATACCATTTCTTGATATAGCAACTGAACGAAAATGAATAATCAATAATTCGTTTTTACTCATTTTTTAATATTTAAAATACTTCTTTAGTACTCACTGTAAATGTCGCAGTGCTCGCCCTCATAGTGGGTGCCAAAGCAGTCGCATGAGATGCCACCGTAGTGGTTGATGCAACGCGATCCTACGAAGCAGAGATTGTGCCTGGATTCGCACATGTCCGAGCATCCTTCGTTGACGTTCTCGTGCTTGGTGGCCACCAGAGGGGCAATGGGCAGGAGGTCAGAGGCAGCCTTGCCAGAGCTCAGAACCACATTGCGGATGCAGCCCACAAAGGACTCTGTAATGTATTTCACGCCGTGCAGCTTCTCCTCCGAGGAAAGGCCTGCAAAATTGCACAAAGGGGGGGATAGAGAGAAGGTGGATTGGTCAGTTGTTTGGTCTTGGCTGGGAAACCACAGATTAATTAACATGCTGAATATTTGGAAATGGATTTTGGCTATATCTGTGTGGGCTTTAGTGGGCGGAGTGACCATGTCGGGCGGCCATAACATAATTTCGTTGTTTACAGTTGAAAGTTTTGATGGCATTTTTGGCCGCTGCTGTTGCTACAGATTTAAATATTGCTTAATTAAAAAAGTTGTCTCCTCTCAGTTTTTGGTTCAGCAAAGAACGGGCTAAATAAATACGAGCAGAGAAGGAAGGAGATGTTACCAGATTATTTATGTCCATGAAAGAGCTTTAGTTGCATTTTTCAAATAAAACAAATATTAATTATAATGAATATTCGCAACTGTCAAAATATTTGTATTTCGATATAAAGCTTTTTATTTCTTAGATTAATTTTAATTTAATATAATGGTTTTTTGGCACTTTTTCTTATTTAATTTACCACATATTTGTTATTAGCCAAACATTTAACAATGACAGCTTTTTTTTCATAAATATTACAAAATAACTTATGGTTTTTTATTAAGCAATTTCTGAAATTGAAACTAGCATGTGAAAAATGACTTATTTACTTATTGACTATTCACTGTCAGTGTTCCATAAAATGCTTTTAAAGTTTATTGATTGCGTGCTTTCCATTTCATTTTCACATTTCACTTTTGCCCATCAATTGTGGGTCAGTCTCCTGGGTTTTCCTTGAAATGCAACCACAACAAAATCATTTTTCCAGGGCGGAAAAAAAGTTGTAATGCAACCTATACAGATTCTATATGTTCTAGCTTCGTTCAAATCAAAAGGACGCTCGGCGGGAGATGGCTTTGAAAAACTAGACCAACATCATCAGAGTGCAATCAATGGGCCATTCTGTCGGCCTGCTTACAAAAACCCCTTTTTCCATGGCCTCTGGTGCTCGCAACGTGAAATAATTAAATTTTCAAATAACGCAGGAAAGCAGCTTTCAAAGTCATACATATGAACACTTACAAAGCCTCGATTCAATGGAAAATGAGCAGCAAGTTCAGTTGAGGTTTGTTCACTCGACTTTTTGAGCTCTTTCACTTGAAGAAAAGTTTAAAGTTTCTAAAGCCTTTGTGATTCTAATTTCGTATCAATATATTTGTAATTAAATAATAAGGAAGTATTGATCTGGAAAACTAGTGGAGACTTAAAATCTCCATTAGAGTGTTAAAAAGTATGCAGTGATACCCTTAGCTATTAGCTTTTTCTACCTATTTAACTATCCATTTTCCTTAGTACCATTTGTCTCGACTAAATGTATGTAACAACCTTGTATATATTGATTTTATGAAGTTAATTTCCAGATTTTTTCTGTGCATGATGTGGGTGTGTGTGTGTGCGTCGCCACCGCCAAACTGCAAATTCGATTTTCAATTTTCAGTTGCACATTTTTCGATTTTTCGCCAGTAGCACTCCTGTATGCTATTCTATTCCGTATATGTATATACCTATATACGCATACTAAACTTTCTATGTTCCACGTTGATGCGATGGTTTATGTGCGAATTTCGCGTACGAAAATCATTGCATATATTCGGGCGTTGCCTTTAATATGATTGATTGTGGGGCTTTGGCGTGGGAGTGGAATGGAGTGCTAGAGTGCAGATGCATGTGGATTTTCGTATGGAGAGAATGGGGCAACACATACACAATTGATTTGGGCACTCACCTCCGACCAGGACCACCGATGGCAGATTCGTGGAGACGCCGTAGTTGTACTCGTGATTCAGTCCTTTCAGATAGACCTCCTCCTGACTATTGTCGACGCGTGCAATTAATCTTGCGCCATGGACATCGATGCGCACCTGTGCAAAACAGACAGCGAGGGATCGGTTAGGAGCGTAAAACCAATAAACCAGCTAGCTTTCAAGGGAGGTATAGGTTTGGGAAAGGGGCGTGGCATT